AAGCAACAAAGAGGTGCAAGTGGGTGTGGAGCAGTGAGAGGCTAAGGTTGCTAACGAACCTGCTGAAAATTCTTTTAAGTTTTTGCGCGGGGAAAAAGTTCTGTTCCATGAGGTAGATCACGTGACATGGAGGTTGAAAATTTTCTAAGTTTTTTGGCGGGAAAAAACGAAAATTTGAAAAGGGGTGTACCACGAAATAAACAAACGATAAATATTTAAAAACTCATTTATTACACATCAAAAGTAAAACACAAATACAAGTAAAACACGTAATATTGAATCCGAAAAAATAAATGAAAAATATTTTTTAAAGTGATATTTTGTGTAACCTGCTTGTATAACCACTACAAACACGTCGATCGAACATGGGCCTCCCTAGTCCTTGTCAGCAGCATTGCAAACGCCTTTTCCATTTTTGATTCTTTGCTCTGGTTGACGTCCATGATTTGGTGGTCTAACAAAAATGAATAGATAAATGAATAAAGAGATAGAGAAATAACTTGAGAAAGGATAAGTTAAAAGGAAGAAAAACGTATAATCTTATGGGTGTTAATGTAGGTAGCGTTAAACTCGGCTTCAAATTTAGAAATAGAATATAATAAATGTTTTCTATACATGAATCTAGGAAATAAATAGAAGAAGAAAAAAAAACGGAATTGCTTCTCTAAGATGGCGGGTTTGATAACTAAAACTTATTTCTTTCTACGGGTTATTGTCAAGGTACTTCTAGGTACGACTAGATATATAAATACAATAAGTTTCTAAACCGTTCTAAAGATAAGACATAATATAAATAAGCTGCCCCAGGTACAAAATCAGTATTATTACAAGCCAAAGAAACCATTGCGCAGTTTAATAAGTGCTCTTCAACATGTGCGAGCTACAAACTCCTTAAAAATCAACGAATTTAGACGATTTTTATTAACTTTTCTAATCTTAATAGTTTGACAAAGTTTCTATTTCAAATTACCTTTGGTTTTAGACGTCTAGGATCTATATTACGGCTGGTTTCTTGACATTTTTGGAACACTTTGATGGCTTCTTCTTGGCGTTTTTCAAAATGGCGGAACAAAACAAGTTTGTTGGATGTCTACGAATCCCTTGAGAATGGCAAATCTGCAAGATAAAGAAAAGTTTGCTGTTAAAAAGCGTGCTCTATACAAAAACACCTTTCATCTTTAGAGACTTTAGGCTGACCACTCCCTTGAGTATCATTTTTTTGTTTCTGTTGACAATGAATGGAATGGCGATGAAAAGTTCGTGGAAAAACTAAAATGCTGTTTAATAATGTCTTGAAAAACAGTTGTAAAAGTAATAGAAAATTCAATACCTCTTACATCAAACGCCGTTTATTTTTCATACGCTATTTTCGTACTATCCATGGCGTTGCCCAAAGGGCTTACGGGCCGAAAGTACAGTAAAGATATATGATGTTTTAATGCTGAAGTCCCATGCAAGAAGCCCAGTTTTTAAAATAAAGAGTGAGATAATTGATAAAAGGATTTAATAGTTACGAAAAATAAGCAAAAAACGAATTTTGAATTTTACCGGTTTAAGACATGGGGAATATGTGGGATCCCTGTGGTATGTTAACAAATTCAAAGCGCGATTTTCTCAACAAATACTTCAAAAAGTTGAGGCATTTTCCATGATTCATTCAGAGGTTTATAAGAGACTTTCAGGAAATATGAAATACTTGAAAAAAATAATTTTTAATTTTTTTGGAATTTTTAGTTATAAAATTGTGGGATCCCTGTGGCGTATTATGAATACTCCTAATATTTTAAATATCGCGTTTTTGGAAATAAATTGATAAAAAATGCATCTTTTTGTCTCAATAACATATCACCATAAGTAATTTTTGATAAAACTTCATTTATCGGAAAGAAAAGTCAGATTTCCGGCCTTATGAACCTGTATTATTTTACCACAGGGATCCCAAAATCCAATCATCGCCACTAAACGCTTTATAGAAAAAAAACTAAAGACTTTTCTCAAAAAGCGATAGGTGCATTAGAAACACCTATCTTAGCTTTAAATCTTGGCGCAAAAAAATTTGGACTTTTCGCATTATTTCATAGAAAACAAGGCTCTTGAAGTTGCGACCCCTAAAATCACGATTTTTCGAAGGTCCCAATTTTTCGTCAAATTAAAATCTCACTTTTTATAAGCAAAATATACACTAATAGAAAGCTGAGGATGAGGGCTTTACGTTTTTGAAACTATCTTTTCGAATGATATAAAAATAATGGTGTTATAATTGAAGAAAGTTTCTAGTCTGCAGTCACCTAGTCAGCGGTCTACTGTTTTTAAACTTTTGCATATTTTTCTATGTTTTTTATCCTCTTTTTCAATAAAACTTGCATGAATAACACCTCTTATAGTGCGCTAAATATATGCGTTGACAAAATTTTGAAAATCCTTTGAGAAGTTGGAAAATGAAAAAGCAAAATATAGCAAGTTTGGGGTGCCTGTGGTTTGTTTGGTGCAAGATCAAACCACAGGCAACCCAGACTAGAAAGTTTTCGAACTTTCATTTTCAAGCTTCTAAAAGCTTTTCAAAAACCTTTTTGATGCGGTTATTTAGCACATTGTAAGAGGTGTTATTCATGTAAGTTTTATTGAAAAAGAAAAGCAGCAACAGCCAAAAATATGGAAAAGTGTAAAAACAGTAGACCGCTGACTGGGTGACTGCAGACCAGAAACTTTCTTCACTAATAACACTGTCGCTTTCGTAGAATCGGAAAAGATAGTTTCAGAAATGTAAAGCCCTCATCTTCAGCTTTCTATTAGTGTATATTTCAATTTGGAAAAGCCAATTTTTAAATTGACGAAAATTTGGGACCTTCGAGAAAACGCGATTTTAGGGGTCGCAACTTCACAAGCCTTGTTTTGTATGAAATAAAACGAAAAGTGGAATTTTTTTTAGGCCAAGATTTAAAGCTAAGATAGGGGTTTCTATTACATCTAGCACTTTTTAGGAGAAGTCTTTAGTTTTTCTTCTATAAAGCGTTTTTTGGCGATGAATGGATTTTGGGATCCCTGTGGTAAAAAAATACAATCTGAAACGATAATGATGAAAAGGTAAATTATACACCGTGAAAAGATGAAAAAACTTACTGACGTTTCGGACGCTAGTCCTTCGTCGGAGTAAAAGAGAAAGAAG